TCTTTGGACTGACTGTAATAAAGTTTCTACTATGACATTATATAATAAAAAAAAAAAAAAAAAAAAAAAAAAAAAATATATATATATATTAATATTTTTCAATTCTATATCACTTTGCCAACACTTCTTTTATAAGCTGACAATTCACCGACTTCAAAGTGTTTATTTTACAATTAGTTTACAACAAGTTTAAAATATTAGCAAAAGTTGTCTATGAAATGAGCTTGTTGGTAAAATAAACTGTTTATGATATGAACTTGTTTGTAAATTGATTGTCTGAAAATAAATATGCCAGCAAATTAATAATTGTCTGTGAAGTGTTGTGTCTATAAAAGAAGCTTCATTAAAGTGAGTAGAACCTTATTTTTTAATAATAAACATACTGATTTAGGTTTATATTCATTTGACAGAACCAACAATGTATGACCAGACATAATGATTTAAAAGCGACAAAATTTTGAATACAGGTGTAAACTATGCACTATATTCCTGGGTGAGAAAATGCAGGTGATCGTATCTAGATTGAGTACATTGAAATAGCATGATCAATAACTAGGATAAATTAGTAATTAAAATAAGAAAATAAAAGATAGTTAAAAGTAAGATATTATTAAATAGTGACATAAATGACATATGGAAAGCAATATAAAAAGTTATAAAAGAATAAAAAGAATTAGCTTTTGATACTTATCTGATAGTAAATAGCACTGCCATTTGCTTTTAAGTTGACTTTACAGAGGAAACTTATCAGTCGCAACAATATCTATCATAATGTTTAGAACAATACTATGCTATGAAAATCTTAAATTATTTTATCCACATAGTTTAGAGCTAAATTCATTATTTCGATTTGGCATTTTTCATTTTATTAATATCTTAAAGTATCCAAAAAATTGATATTTTTTACATAATCAACTTTATAAATATATTTTTATTTGAAGTATAAAGGAGACAATGTAGCTATATAACTATCTATTATTTTTATTATTATTTATTACACCTTTAATAGTCAATTTTATTTGATTTATTTAACTTTCTAATTTGTACAAAAAGCTATACAGTTAAACCTTTATAAATGCAACCTTTATAAATGCAATACCTCTCTAAATATACATTTCTGGCCTGGCTATAAGAAATCATTAGTGCTAAATGCATATTTTATATTCTGCAAATGCACATTTACTCAAAAGATTTTCTATATCATACTAACCTCCCTAAATACATGTAGCCAATCAGAATTCAGTATTCAAGTTGTGTTATACAAGCCTGCAGATCAAATATTAAAAGCTGCAATTTGATTGGCTTTCTCTAAATGCAAACCTCTCTAAATACATGATTAAAGCTAGTCTGTATGCAGTGCACTTATGGAGGTTTGACTGTATACAAAAACTATATTAACATAATCACGACTAAAAAGCTCATTCAAACTTAGATCTAATGAAGTCAAAGCAGTATTTATATAAAAAAACTCTGCCAATGCTTTCCCTGCTTCAAGACCAAGTTGATTATCTCCAAGATTCAAAGAAATTAGAGTATGATTCTTGTATAGAGCTTCTGCTAATGCTTTTCCTTAGAGCCAAGATTATTAGAGAAAGTCATTATAGTATTTTATGATAATAATAGGAGAAACTATGTATAAATATATACAATACCTTATCATTAATCCATTTTATCATTCATAAGATCTTTATTATTGTCATAAAGATCATCAAAAATATCTTCATTATAAGAGTCTTCTTCATAAAGATCAGGATCTCCTTTATAAAGACCCTCATTATTAGGGTCTTCATTATAAAAATTATTATCATAAAGATCTTCATCATCAAGAAAATTTTTTTCCCAAAAAAAATAATCTTGATTAGGAGAATATTCATCATTTTGAATTTCTACTCCACCAAAAAAATCTGTAATAGGCTTTTGTCTAAATAATTCAACAGTTTTTTGTCTCATTAATAATAAGTATTTTTGAAACACTTTCAAATCTTTTTTATCAAAATCATTACTTATTTGTTGTTCAGCAAACAAGATAAAGTTTTTTAGTTCATTTAGTTCTTCTGAGGCTAAAATATTTGGAGGCTCTTCATCAGAATCATTCAGATCACCTTGCTCATGTTCTAATTGTTTTGCTAACGTGATTTCAACAATCTAATGATCATCAAGTTTGTTTTCTATAAATATATACACATTATTTACTTCTCTATAAGTATTTATTTCTTGTGCAATTGCCAGATCAGTAAAATCAATTACTAATTTATTAATTTCATTTTCTTCATTTTCTATTGATTCTTAAAATATATTTTGAGCAAGTTCAGCCTCACTATTTGGTATTGTTAGCAAAATATCCATCTTTTTTTTAGCAATTCACTATGATCAATTTATCTACTTCGTCTCATGATACTGCTACATACTTGATAGCTTCTTTAATATTTACTTTATTTCTATTGAAAAAAAAAAAAAGTAAAACAATTAAATTATAAAAATTAAATTAATTTTATATAATAATTGCTTATATTGGATCCTGAATATCTAAACCACTTTTAAACTGATTTAATACATGCTGGATATATTTTTTTTGATATTTTGCTTTGAAACATTTAATAATACCTGTATCTATGAGTTGAAGATATGATGTAGTAAAAGAAGGCAAAAATACAATTCGAATATTTGCAAAGCAATAATCAAATAAATTAGAAAGTATATATACACTTTTTTAATCTAAACCACATTTGTCTTTACTTATAGTATGACCTAGTTGACTAATTAGAATTGTATTGTTTAACCTTGAATGCCTATGACCCCAATCTCATTGACTAACTAAAATAGCATTATTCAACCTTGAATGACTATAACTATGTTGACTAACTAGAATAGTATTATTTAATCTTGAACAACCATGGCCATGACTATGGCCGCAACTACAATTACTTAATTTGATTGAAGATGATTCTTCAAGACTATTGTTATCAAATTCCTCATCAGAGTTATTTGAATTTGGGTCAAAGTGGCTTAACACATTATCAAGTATGAGCAAAATTTTTCAGTTTTCATATCGAAATTGACTGTCGATATTTTTTAACCACTTTTCAAATATGTCACTTTTTATCCATACTTTTGGGTTAGAATGATATGTAACAGATAGGGCCTCATAATTTATACCAACTAATGCTCGTGATTCAATAGAACTTCTGATTACAAACAGCTTCATCTTTTCAATACCAGTTGTATTAAAAGCCAATAGAATAGAAATATGAGTATGATTCTAAATTTGTTAATAAACAAAATAAATGATCAGACCTAAAATATCATTGTTCAAATATTTAAAAACCTAGTAAACTAAATTTTAAAATTCAACTGAAGATATTTTGTAATAATAATATCCTGATCTGTTGGGGATTAGCAGAAACGAAGTTTTCGCTTATTTATATACAGATCAGGATATTATTTATTAATCTCCAGTTATTATGCCAAAATTATGGGGAACACTCAGACTATTAATACTAAATAATAATTTTACATCCCTTTTTCCAGCCTAGACAAGAATAGAACACCAAAGTTTGATTTGGGGACATTCGAAAAAACAACCCTGTCTCGTCCGCATTAAATATGTTATTTAATGTGTACTCCTGAATAATATGAGACTGTTGCAGTAGAAAGGGCCAAAACTCGGAAATATATAATTTTGAGAAAAATTGTGTTTACTTTTTCAGGCTAATCCGGGTTAATCAAAAATTATGCGATTTGATTGGCTGGCTATATCGGGTAATCTCATGACGTGCAAGTATTCTAAAAAGTTTTTTTAAAATATCTTGATTTTTTATTATGCAAACTAATTTCTATTTTTAATTGAAAAGTATAGCCTACCTCAAGATTAATCAGAATTTTGAAAAAACTTAAGTTTGATTTTTAGAGAGTTTGGGCCCTTTCTACTGCAACAGTCCCATATTTTGTAAATTAAGTTAAGATTCTGGAAGGATGTTGGCTAGTGTGCTGCTAGCTTCTCTGTGTAGCTGAAAATTTTGTAGATTGTTACATTTTTTTAAATTGTCTTATTTATCTGTTAGAAAATTTAACTTGTTATTAGGTAATAAAAGCTTCTTAACAAAATATGTAGTTTTTTCTTTAATAATTGCTTCAGTTAAAAATAACCCACTATTACAGTATTACAATTTGTTCAATCTATAGCTTTATACATCAGCAAAATATAATTTTTTTTTTTAATATTAAGGTGACCACTTAGGCCCCTGGCACTTTATTAGTTCAAACGGGTGGGCCGTCCGAAGAC